CAAAAGTTTTTTGTTAATAACTTTTAAATGATATATACCTTCCGCCCGGATTGTTAATACGGGGACCGAAGCGCGTCGATTGATACCGCTCTCGACATTTCCGGAACTTTTTTAGTAGTTTTTTACGGTAAACAAGAGAATTACCGCAGGTAGTTTCAATAAACAACCTTTTGATTAAAATGCAGATTTTTGACAACTGCTCAATTGTGAAATATTCGAAGCGGCGTTACTTAATTGTAAGTTTTTTGGTGTGGGAGATTTTATATCCCAAATAGTTGTGTTAATATTTACCTTTTAAAAATAATTAATATCTTATCTTAAAAACGTTTAAATTTTACATTAAATTCGATAACAATTTGCCAAATCATTATTTTAATATTAATGCAACTTAAGTGAACATATTTTAAAATTTTTTTAGTGTCATTATTTCACAATGTAGTTTTCTATATTGGATACGATGATTCTGTTATAATTCAGACACAAAATATACATTTCGATGTGTTATTTAATACATATTATCTTTGTCCATTTAACAGCAAATGAAATTTACTTTGGGACTCATGGGCCGTGAAATTTTTCCAGCAACACATATAGTCTGTTCCAATAGCAGTCCGGTTTACAGGATTTAGTCTGAACTTTCTGGAAGTCGTTCCTATTGACATCAAACCTGTAAGTGGGAACACTTTTGAGAGAGTAACTGAGCAACTATTCCTAGTCAGAAGTTACAGGATTTAGTCTGCTCCTTTGAACTTCGGACTAAAACCTGTGGAACTGTCAAACTACAATTTTACTCTCTCAAGTGAGAGTAAAAGGAGAGCAGATGCAGAAGTGCACGGGAACGCAAAAAGCACTATTTCCTGTAAAAACGTCAGTCGGTTTGTTTACATGTCATTGGTACAACACTGATTTGGCTGAAATATCACTAATAAATTATTAAAATCTATACATTTTCAATCATTTCTTTGTTTACTTCCATCCATTCAGCTGATCGTTTGACACTTTTCATGAACTTACAGGAAAAAAAAACTCCGGACTAAATCCTGTAACTTCTGACTAGGAACAGTTGCTCAGTTACTCTCTCAAAAGTGTTCCTACTTACAGGTTTTATGTCAATAGGAACGACTTCCTGTAAGTCACAGGGAATCAGTCTCAAGTTATGTAGACTCCCGCCCTGTGAATGCCGTTCTAGGCACACAACCACCGGACGTGGACGGGACAGAACTTTGTCTGCCTCGGGAGACCCGCACTACAATAGCCCAACTTCGCTCTGGCTATTGCAGCAGGCTCAACAGCTACCTGTGCAGAATCAACGAGGATGTGCCCAACCAATGCCCGGCATGTGGAGAGTCGCCACATGACTCCTGGCACCTCTTCACATGCCCTGAGAACCCCACTCAGCTAACGCCCCTGTCCCTATGGACAGCCCCTGTGGAAGTAGCACACTTCCTGGGCCTCCCCCTAGCTGAAATTGACGACAACGTTGATGGATGAACCGCCCCGAACGGGGCTTAGTAGCCGCTACAACAACCACAAAAACAACTTCCTGTAAGTTCTAACTAAATCCTGTAAACCGGACTGCTATTGGAACAGACCATGGTTCAATAATTAGTATGTTCCTTTGAACTTCGGACTAAAACCTGTGGAACTGTCAGACTACAATTTTACTCTCTCAAATGAGAGTAAAAGGAGAACAGATGCAGAAATGCATAGGAACCCAAAAAGCACTATTTCCTGTAAAAACGTCAGTCGGTTTGTTTACATGTCATTTGTACAACACTGATTTAACTGAAATATCACTAAAAATTATTAAAATCTATACATATTCAAACATTTCGTAGTTTACTTCCATTTTCTTACAAATATAAGGTACTTTGCTTTCACCGCTGTTAGTTTTTGCTTGCACATGCAAATCAGCTGACCGTTTGACACTTTTCATGAACTTACAGGAAAAGAAACTCCGGACTAAATCCTGTAACTTCTGACTAGGAACAGCTGCTCAGTTACTCTCTCAAATGTGTTCCCACTTACAGGTTTTATGTCAATAGGAACGACTTCCTGTAAGTTCTGACTAAATCTTGTAAACCGGACTACTATTGGAACAGACTAAATACAAGGTTGTGTAATTTGTGACAGCTAAAATTTGACACTCCTTTATCTAGATTTGTATTTTGGAAGTAGGAGAAAGGGGAAGAATGTGATCGCATTTTGCGAAAACGGTAGTAGAATGGTACTACAAAAACTACGCAAAGTATACAATTAGAAGTAAAATGTGTATTTCTAATTCTATGCGAATTTGCAATATATTTGGTGTTTTAATGGAAATACTAAACAATATATAAAAATATGCATTTTTGATTTAAGTTATTCGTCAGTTCCGGGAACAAATCTAGAATGCCGACCGTTCAGCTATGCAAAAACGAAAAATGCGGATCAATAGAACTTTTTATGCATTTCAACCATGCCAAAATGATTTGGCGCAAGTAAAAAATGAAGAGGTTCTAGAAGCTTAAAGTTCAGTTTTTAGATATTTTAAATATTAATACCTTATGAACTTTATAACCGATTAAAAAGCTAATGACGTCACCATAAAGGTAATTAATTTGTTCTTCAGCTGATGTACATAATTTATAGCTTTTTGTATTTTTAAACCAAAACCACTAAAGAACGAACAAATGTTATTTTTTCAAGAAATAACTAGAATTTTATATTATTTAGAAAGTACAAGTTATTACATATTTTATCATGATCTACTTTTGGGTTTCAACAATTTAGTGATAATAAAAAATACAAATAAACCTTTTATATCTTCTTTTTTTTACCTGCGCCAAATAAATTTGGTATCGGTATCGGTAGCTAAACGGTCGCTATTCTACACTTGGTCTAGAAAATTACGCAAACGAAGGTGACGCCAACGAACATTTAGTATGAAGAATTTTTGGTTTTACTACTAATATCACTAGAAACTATAGAGTAAGCAACATTCTGCACAAGTAAAGGAGCCGATTTTATGTGTGGGAGCGAGAAGACTGTTTTATTACAAAACCTTTATATTATTGAATCATGGGAACAGACTAATTGTTTTCTCATAAAATTTTGCAGACCCAAAATAAAGTATAAAATAAATAGATAAAAACCAATTTTCAATCAATCTGATTTTTGAAGTTCTGGGGCGTCTTTTGGTAAATGTTCTGGAGGCTGTTTTAATATATCCTATCTTATTATATATTTCTTAGCTTTTCTTTTTCTGAGAATTCGAGTGAATCAAGTCTAATGTTCTTTTTTGGTCAACTACGACGTTTGATTTCATTTTTTGGCACAATGCCCATACCGGCTATACCAATTTTTTTGAAATATCGGACACAAATTTTCCAAGAACGGTTATAGGCTAAAACAAAATCGATATCTAAAGGGGATGTGGAACCTCCCATACAAATCGAATTTTTCATAGTGCATATCTCTGGAAGTATTTATGGTAGAGTCCCGGATCTTGGTATGGATATATGAACATGTACATGAAGTCAATCTCAAGCTCATGGAAAAATATGGGTTTATTGGAAAATGCAGCGTGCCACCGTAGAACTTGGAATAGAAATAAATGAAAAATCCTAAACCTATGAAAAATGGAGGCATATGAAAACGATTTCGTAGCCAGTTACTGGCGACGCATAGATACTGGTGAGGCGCGACACCTTATGAAAAGTAACATGATCACAGGGTGTATCCCTAGAACCATGTTAAGCTAAACCTTGAGGGATTACTGTGTATTTAAAAATGTCATAAAAATTGTGTTGCTAGCTTCATGTTGCAAAAATGTTGCAAGCTTTTTCACAGCGTGTACAGAATACTACTTTGCTGAGGAAATGTTGTGGAATTTCACACTTATTTCACAGAAAGAAATTTTATATGCAATTTAACAGCTTTTTCACGTGAAACAGGAAACAGATTTTTAAATCGACAAAAAATTAATAAGAAAATTTTAAGGAATTTAGATATTGGCTATGGTAGCCAATGTCACAATCTGCTTAATTGTGAGGTTGTTAATATGGCGACGAAAAAGTGACAATGGAACAACCTTATTTTTTGCATCATGGCTCTGCAGTACACCACAGCGGCCGCTGTGCAACAGTATTTCTTCGACTATCATTTCAGTGAAAGTTCCACTCATTTACTTTAACTACTAAACCCCTACAGAATATCAGAAAATCGCAATCAACCTTTTCTTGATTACGATTACATTACTTGTAATCATGATATCTTTAGGATTACAATTGAAGTTTTCGTTATCGTAATTTTCATGATTACAATTACTGTAATAGTAATCTTAACATTTTTGGGATCATAATTACGGTATGCGTAATCATGTATGTATTTCAAGATTACGATTACAGTAATCTAGGTGGTTAAATTTTTCAGATTAGAATTATTATAATCATAAAGGTAACATTTATGATTACAATCAAGCACTCGTAATTAAAGTTCAACATACGAAATTAGTTTATCCGGGCGACGATATAAGCTAAAGTTCATTTACGTATATTTGTATTAAAACGTAAACGTCATCGTTCTAAATGACTGCCATGCATTTACGCACCATTTACAACTGCGCATTAATAACGCATCCACCCGAAGCTAATCATCGCGGCGACGCTGTCACAAGGGGGAATCGCAACAAAGTACACACTAAAAAAAATATATGTTTGTAGAAAGTTATCGTTGTTCACGGTCGGCTCATAAAATATTGTCGACTAGATTAATTAACCTCGCATTGACATGTGTTATCGCACGGTAACGATTCATAGCCAAATGCATATATTTTGAATGAATTTGACTTTGTAGATGACCTTTATTCTGATAATTAATAAACAATTGCATACTATTGGATATTTGTTTTTCAATATAAATTTATAATAGGGATCTACTATATGAATGTTTTTTATACCTCTTACGAATATTTCAACAGCTACCAATACTGTGCATTTTAATTTTGTTTTTCAACTTACCAACAAAAGCCTTCAGCTCATAGTCGACACCGCATGACTTACCAGTGTCGCCAGGAGCTGGTTGCAGCGATACTGACGCCGGACAATACGGAGGAACTTCAAAGTAAAATGGATATGCATTCGGTCCTAATTTTTTTACGAGTCGTTCCTGCAATCTTGTCATTGGCCTTTCGGTTTGTTGTTGCGGATATATTTGTTCATGCGCTAAATACAAATCCTTGCGAAACGTCAAACCTAGTACATCTAAGTCTTCACGTCCATATCTAAATGCGGCAAGAACTTGGCCAAACACTTTACGATCTTTAACATACTCTGGATCGATAAAAACCACACCGTCGATGGGGTCAACATGCGTAATGTGGTCGACGAAATCACGTTTCCCCAGGTAGACTGTAATCTTACCATTAGATGAACTTTTTTTAAAAACTCTAGTGGCTTGACGCCGCGAGCTTGCATCTGCATCGCCACCGCCACCTCCAGCCTCATCAGATGAGGGTGTGGCAGTAGTTGCAGCTCCGCTGGTGGAAAGGGTGTTCATCGGTGTCTCTTTTACTAAAACAGTATCAATGATTCGATTGCTTTAATTGGCTTCTTATGTCAGATTACTCCAGATTTGTCATCTAATTGCTGATTAGATTGTAATGCGTTGATAAATTCCCAAAATTATTGTAATTATCACCTTACCGTTCGAAATTTTGCTCTTATTTTTCCTTCATTTCCTGGCAAAACACTTGTTTTCCTGTTTAATATTTGTTGTGTATTAATATACTCTCATATCTTAACCACTTGTATACAAAATTATTTTCTTAAATAGCTAGTCTTCATCTCCCAATAATTTTCGAACGACGACGACCATCCCAAAATATTCAGAAAAAATGACACAGACGAAACGTCACAAGGAATGTGTATACCGTGCAGTGTTGCAGCTTTAGCCGATAGCGCTAAAAAATAATTTAAGCACTGAATATACAGTAGTCAATACACTAATTAAACCTTATTAAAAACTAAAACCAACAAACTTAAGTCAAATTTAATCCATCCATTTTTGGTGGAGTATATATCGTCCATGCCAAAGTTTATCATATTTTCAATTACCGTATTTAAGATTTCGTGCACTATGAAAATACAATCAAGAAGCAACACTGCCATATGACGTCAACTTTTGTAGAACTTGCTAGTGACATATCTAGACAAGTCTCCAGACACTTACTGGTTTCGAAATTTTATGTGATATAATAAATTCAACGTTGCCGTGTTCAATCATCAAATTCAAGGAAAAGATGAATTTAACCTCTAGGTGCGGGATTTTAAACCCGTCATTTGAAGGTGTTTATGGCCCCATCAGAATGGGTACTGTGGCGAAAACTGCACCAACTCGAAACGAACAACAAGAAATTACCCTCTACGCGTACGCACTATCCAGTACAATCCAATACTAATTTTACTGGTTTTTACTGGATGACGTTTTCGTACGCAAAAACTTGAACGGAAACAGCAAAAGAGAGAGCAGAAATGACAGCTGAACTTACAAGTTTTACTGGATTTTAAGTGGATACATTTTTTACTAATAACTATTTGCTAGTACCAAAAGAATTTTTTGTGGTGATTTTAGAGATGCAATTGACAAAATAAACCTATTTAAATATATAATAAGATGGGATATAATATTTTTCTTAAAAAATTGCGTCGGAAAATAACAAATTAATCAGCTTTTCATAAAACTTGCAGCTTCTTGCTGGTTTTGCGTTCTCGTACTTTCTTGCATATTTCTCTCATTGGAGTGAATATTGTCCTACTCTCTGAAATTTGGGTGGGCTTTAGTAGTCAGCCGCATCTTGTGTTTTAAGAAAACCAGGTGGAATTAACAAATGAAACTTGGTCAGGATTTAAAGGGAGGTATCCTCTAAAACATGTATAACTAAAAAATATAATCAATATCATTGTTTATAATTTATTTGTTGTTAAAACTTCTTAAGTCGTTCCACTTGGTTTCCTTCAGGGTTCGGAAATAAGATTTGCACCGTTCATTCGATTTTCAAAAATGAGGTGTCAAATGAAAGGGCTTGACCTCTGGATGTGCAGAAAGGATATATTTTTTTAATAGGGTTGCCACCTCGTTTAAAATTATGATATT